TCATTTCAGGTGGATTAGAACAGGTTTAGGTTTAGGGTGGGCGTTGGCCAGATTTGGATTTTTCAGATGTAATCCTGGATAGGAACCTGTCATTGAACGTCGCGTGAAAGTGGAACTTAATGAAGGCCTAAGTACTTTTTCGTAGTTTTTTGTTTTCGGATTTGAAAGATCGTCGGTTACAGTGGCCTGCTTACTGAGCAGGAAAACGCGGTCCCAGGTCCTTACATATCAAAGAGATTTATGGTAAAATCGCTTGTGTATCGTGTATTTTGCGAAACTCGTTGTTGTCGTTGGTTCCGGGTCTGAATGGATATACAAATTTGAGCAATGGTATTATGCGATATGAGGGGCTCGGTGGCCTTAGAGCAACCGTTTTTGCTTACTGAGCAGAACATCATGAGTCTAATTTCAGGCCCATCCACATTCAAGATTTGTCAATCGTTTTATTTGTTAATATGACTACATGGTAATAACAGCAACTCGGTGATTAAAAAAGGTGCTCGTCTGCCTAGTGGCAAACGTTTTTGCTTACTGAGCAGAAGACCGTGGGTTTAGTCCCAAGCTCCTTCGCGTTATATGATCGTTAGGACATCAATTCAGCTTATCGTTTACCAAAACGAACCCTGCTGCAAACCCAACCCTCTTATCCAACATCCCAGTGATTCCTCGTGGAAGTGCAGAGGTGTTCTCGGCTTCCATCAAAGCGAGTGTCATGTCAACACAATCCTTCCCATTCCTTTCTTGACCTGTGTTCGGGCGCGGCCGGCGCTGGTATTGCCTAATTTAAGATCACCAGTTTTTACACATTGAGGATGATTGCTAGTCCCAAGTATCGTCTTTTGGTTCTCTGTGTAATTACAGCTGATCTGGCAGTAACAGAGTAGCAACCGTGGGCGGTCAATCAAGCTCAAGCAAGCTCAAGCTCAAGCTATAAAGTACCATCAGCTAAAAATGTATTTTGAGCTTTATCTCTATACATTCTTAGGTGTTTCGTAGAAGCAAGCATGGGAAAAATCGATTCATTTTGTATTTACTACTCACTCACACGCATACAACATCAGAAACGAACAGCAGCTTGTGCGAGCCGCACTGATTTCGTTCGTTATCGCATTGCTTCTATTTTCTTCGATGAACGCAGAATTGAGAAAAACAGACAGATGAGCGTAACATGAATGATTCTGAGTGTAGTAGTGTGGATGATTTATCTTTTGTTATTTTTGCCATGCTGAGCCTTTTACAATTGCATTCTGCTGAGTGAGCTGAATGAGAATTTTGCAGAAAGAATCACTTTTTATTTTCTAGCTTTAAACATACATTGACACATTTAAATTGCTGTTAATATGAAAAAAAAAACGGTTATACTGTGACACATAAACATAAGCGTCAAGCAAATACCGTAAAACTGCTGTGGCCAATTCAACTGATTTAAATCAGTGAGCCAAAAACTATCTGACTAGGCTATATAAATCGTTAGCATTCGGATCTTAAGCATTCAATCTGGTTCTCCTTCGGTAGAGAAAATTGTTCGGCTGCCTTTCAGTTTATCCTTCTTTCCTTCTAGGGGAAACGCTCCTATAGTTGCGGTACGTTAGAAGCGTTAGGTTCCTATAGTTGTGTATGGAGACTCAATACATAACTATAGGAACCTAACGCTTCTAACGTACCGCAACTATAGGAGCGTTTACCCTACTGCTGTCAGTTCTAAGTCGACCTGCAGAGTCACTTGGTTGGAAGAATTTACACTCGTTCGGCAATCGGTGTGTAGGTGAGGATGGCTATTTTGATTCTGTGGCACTCGCGCGAGTGAATGAATTTTCCCATGCTTGCTTAGAAGATTGTCATGTTGGTGTACGCTGATTCAAAGAGTAAATGTTATTAACATTGCGCTGTCCATAGTTGGGCGTTGTTGAACTTGTGGTACTTGCACACAGAGTTGCGACCTATCACAATCACGATCTCCAAACAGCTGATGGTAGTAAGGCTTTGTACATTCCTATCAATGAGCTCGTCGAAGCTCACTCCATGACCATTTATCAAGTTGACGAAAGAAGTAAAAAGCAACTGGTGAATGTCGTCTTCTGTTGTGATCCATCACCGATCTGGACATTCCCGACAATCGCGACACTCATCTGTGCTCGTTTTGAAGCAGTTGCTGCTTTGTTTGCTTATGTGAGTGTGTTGGTGAGTGAGCCCAACAGTTTCCGTTTCATGTTGCCTGCTGTGTTTGTAACTCACACAGTCGCGCCTGCCGAGACGAACTTGGAATGCGTAGGCATTGTTTTCATTTTCTTCTGTCGTTTCGCTTTTTTTCATGATCGTACTGCAGAAGTCTTCACTGTTTTCGTTGTGCTTTTTATCATCAGCAGCGAGGGTAAGGTTTTGCTTGTGAGCAGCGACCATTACTGGTGATTGTTGTTTGCCATGGCTCTAACTCTCACTGCGTGACAAAACGATCTGTCAGCGATAGTCGGTTGATGCGAAGACGAGTGTCACGTGAGTGTCATGATATTTTGCATCACTGCTTGCACAACAGTTCATGTGGGTACCAAAGTAGCCATATAATCACAAAATAACTTTTAATGTAGATCAGAGTGAGACAATGTCACTGAGATATGATTAGTTGGGTATTCAGATGACTATTACTTTAAAAAAAAACTAATCCTGGTTGTATCTCTTTTTCGTTTGCATGTAACACTGTTTGATATTACTAACCGCACCTAGCGTTCATTCCGGGTGGCGAGCGAACCTGAAGAAGAAGAAGATGACCATGAGCCCCTTCTCGGAACGAGTGTATTGTTGATGGACCTGGTCTACGATTCAAGGTTGGATTCTATGATGATGAGTATCACAAAAAAGGTAAAACAAGTAGCACAATCTTCATCTAAATGTAAGTATTATTGACAAAAATCATAACAATCAACTCTATATAACTATATAACGTTGAAATACATTTATAAAAGGGAAGGGACGGTCCAACAGGGCACCCGATTGAAGCGATTTGAACGGGGATTCCCACTCTCCCTGTTGATAACATTTTGAGGATAAAGGACGGGCTCTCATTGGGGCATCTTCCTGTTTGGGGGCTTGTCTTTTTGACCAATTGGCTGATGAAGTTGCTGGAAGGAGATTCTTTATTGTTCCGTAGATGCGGCCACTTTGCCTATCGATCTACCCAATCCATTTTTGGCCCTTCATACAGCGACATGTTTAGGACAATAAGAGGTTATTAACCTTGATCAAGACAAACAGAGAAGAGAGCCCACTACTGTCGTACTTAGTTTCCGTGCTACAATGGGTGGTAAACCACTATCATATCATTATTGTGTATTATTGCTGAATAAATTAGTTCTTTTTTGATTTTGCGAACTGAAGGGCTTGGCTGAAATTACATCCCGTAGCCAGTACTTGTCTAACCACCATCGAATAACAATGCATCTCCAATCACAATGACGTTCGATCGTCGAGCTCAACCAAACAACGGTGATGGGGAGAAATTCTCCAATAACACCTTTGTGTTTCTTGTCCGTATGGTGGTAAGCTCCAACTCGGATTAACTTTCAATACTGGCCCCGATTGGAGGATTTACCAAAGGTTTTTCTGGATCGTTTTGGCTAGCACCGGCATCGACATCAAAGCAGCCCGACATGCGCGAGCGAGATTTAATCCGAGGATAATACCGGAGCAGCTTACCACAAGTAGTCTCACTCCACCCAATTGTTAACCCTTTCCTCAAATGTTGGCTCCGTAAAGCTACTGCGAATGAACCTTGTATTGTAGACAAAAATCCAATTCAAAATTCGTATTACAATTGAGAACAGAAAATGTATACCTGAGCAACTGTTCGAAATTGTTTACTGCAGCTTTACTCACATCAAAATGTCCAAACAATGGTCTTGAAATTCTGTCTTGTCAAGATTCCCATTACATTGCAGCTAAACCATGTTCAAGCAAACACCCTTCCCTTCAGTTGAAACAACAGCCCAGATCCTCATGAACGGTACATTGCTCTTCACTTCCTCTATTTCAATTTCACATCTCAACGGGATCAAAAATAAATTGACATCTACCTTGTGCTCTATATAGCTGATGCTGCCACTCCTGCCCGGTGTATTGTGTCCCATTTCTATCCCAGGATCTTCTTTCGTTGGACGAAAAATCCATCCAAGCACAAGCCAGCATGTGCTAACGTCCCCTTCATATTAGACGCAGCCTGACACCGGCTGCTGCAAAGAAAGAACTATTTCCACCCCCAGGTTCGCCCTCCATCAAGCACAAATGAAGCTCATCTGTTGACACGATGATAAAACCATGGACCAGGTGGTGCTACTACTGGTTATCAACACAACGGATGGCAAAACAACGAGACACCATCAAACACACTGCGCTTAAGGAATTCCCAGCATTGAAAAGGACCATCACCGCCGTCGACATCAACGGAGTTTCCATAGATAATGAAAACGTATATTTCCACTAGATTACTACTGCTGCTGATGATGATGATGCTCGTTGCCCATTTCCGTCTTTCCATCAAACCGTTGCTGCTGGAAAATGGACTATGCGACGAGTTGCTAGATACTGCTGTGACAAACCGTCGCTTTTGGATTCGGAGTGATGTCACAATTTCTGACGGCATTATCTGGTTTGTCCTCGTTCAAGCATCTCCCACCTGTCCAAGAATGTCAAGCGGAAATTTTAATTCACACAAACAATCTTGCCAAATGTCTGATTTGCTGTCTCTGGATTGAATTTCTATGCTTCAGCATCAACAACATTCAGCGTTCCAGTTTTATCCATGACCTGTATACTGCCGCTATTCACATAACAGTCCAATGTGAATTGGAAATTCATAGAACATGGTACCGTTATGTGAATAGCGGCAGTATACCATAGCCTTGGATTTGTGCCATGCCAGACTTCAGCCTGTTTGATACTCGTCTCTTTTTCTGCATCAACATCAACAACAACAACATCAACGAAAAGCAAAATATGCGTAATATTACCTTGACAGATGCTGTCACCGTTGCCGTTTCGCTAAAGTACAGTTGATGGCCAGACGCCTTGCCACACCAGGAGCCACCGGTGAATGGACGACCCAGTTCACTAAGCTGCAAATAGATACAAATGAGAGGCAAAATAGAAATACGTTAGATGCAATGCTACAATGCTACAGACCTAGAAGCAAACATTAGCAGATATTTTTTTTGGAAAATGCAAAATTTAGTTCGAAGGATTCCACACAAAAAAAAACATTGCCCTGATAAGAGACTCATTCCAACGATGAAGGTAGATAGAGGCCGCAATTGTTTCATCCGAAAAACCACACACTTCCTCCGTGAGACTTGTTCCGGCGAATTCATAAGAACTTCACTCTTGTAGACAGCCAAAGGTACTTCAGACTGCCGTTGTTCTTCAGCCCACAAACCGAAACCAACCATCCGCCATAAATAACAGATGAACGTTGGCAGCTTCTTCCGAGGAACTCGTCTCCATTCCTCCAATATTTCAAGTGACACGTGCAATGCGTCGATCCACCTGCCAAAGACGATAAAGGGATATATTCAAACCGTCTTCCTGCGCAGTTTCATTCATTTAGCATCCATTTTCTAAAATTGATTCCGTCAGTCAGTCAGTCAGTCAGTCAGCCCGCCTCTGACTTGTAGTCTGAAATAGTTTTCCGGGTAAAGAGTCAATCAATCGTATCGATGATGTTAGAACGTCCAAACAAACCACGATGCGTCTCCATTGAACTGAACTCCTAAAGTCAGGTCGAACGGAAATGAAATGCCGCAATGCATTCAGGCAGGTGAGACAGTATTCGCAAAAACAAACATACAATCTGGATGCTAGGGCGTACATTTTGCCTTCAGCTTGGTGTGCATTGAATGAACTAGAGGAAAACATGCAATATATCTCACAGAACAACAAGCAACTTTTATACCATTCGTCCAGAAAATGTACAACTTCAGGCCTCAGTAGGGGAAAATATCGGGAACACTAAAAGAGGGATACAGCAGGTTCAAGCGTTTCATGAACTTTAGTGAGAGGAGGCTGGTTACTTCTACTGATCAACAGTTGGTGTCAACATTTCGTAAAGCAGCTTGCAGAGTAATTAAATTGTGCACTCCAGTCAATTTTCCTCGCAATAACCTTCAATTTAAACTGGTTCCCAAAATGTGGTCAGTCATGGTGCACCAGATGGCTCTTCTTCATTCAAGCGTAGCGGAAATCATCTGCAGTTAGCAACTGCCAAGAAAAGAGTCACATTTTACGTCCATGTTTCACTTTTTTTTCATCAGAACTGCAACATCTCTCAACTAGTCGCACTGAAAAGCCCTCCAGGGAAACACAACACCTCCCTTGAGCGGGAGTGAAAACGCAATTCAACGTTCCGTTTTTTTTTCAGGGAGCAATTTTCCGCATCTAAACGGTGCTGAGTAAGCAAACACATGGCAACCATTCATTGCCGTTCGAAAAAAAAATGGAGATAGGGTAAAATGCAGGACGAGTGTTATACATATGTGGTGAAGAGCATTACATACCTGCATGAAACCTTCTGGGCAGCCAGGAAGGTCTCCCCCACTGGTTAGGCTGGCGTCACTCGAGTCCATGTCCGGATCGATGAGGCCCTCGTCGAAACGGCCAACGGTGAACTTGTCGAAGATGATCTGGAATGGGATGCAAGAGAGGAATAGATGGCGTTTAATAAATTTAATGGATCACTAACTCCTAGGGGTACAGTTCAAGTAATCTAAGGAAATTGATAACGGAAATTTTCGCTGATAATCATTCAAAGTAATTCATAAGGTTTTGAATAGACATTTGTTATTAAAAATGATTTACGGCAAATAACATGATTATGATAACATGAAGGTCAAATTAATCGACCACTGGACTGTTGTGATTCATGTCAGTAGCTTTACATTAGCATTCTTTGATATTGTTGAGTCATTGAACCAGAACTAATCAGTTAGTTAAGATTTTTTTTTTCCTTGATTTGTTTTTCGTCAATCTTGTTTTCCGTGCTGAGCACCAATGCTACCGACGCCAGGGAGGCAGCTCCCACGCCTGGACCCTACCTATCGACCCATCAGCTCACGAACCGGGGACCAACGGCTTTACTTCCCATCCGAAGGAAGGCGTGATCAGAGATGTTATGCCCCAGAACATCCCGGCGGCGCTGACTGGGATTGAACCCAGGCTTGCTGGGGTGAGAGGAAATCACGCTTACCACTACACCACCGGCGCCGCTAGTTAGTTAAGATGTACTGTTTCATTTTTAGAATTTTCAACTATTTTGTTGCGAAATCTCTAGTGATTCCCATATTGATTTTTTTTCCATTTTGGTGTGTGATATGACTGTTAAAAATTTCTGTTTTGATATTTTAACTAAAAATAAACCATTCTGAAACACTTAAAAAGTACCGTGAACGGCTTTCACACTTTTACAACTTATTTTCTTTCATCTTTCACAACGCTATGATTCATTAAAATATATCGAACATGCCATTTTCAACAATGAGGTGCGAGTCAAAATGGCAGAATTTCAGCACAAGTTGGAATAATGACCCATAGCGTTACTTATGCAAAGTCTCCTGGAATTCGGAGTGGCCAACGTCTGAAATTCCTATTTTAATCGAAATTTGGCCTGAATTTGTTATGGGTAAAAGACAATTAATTGATGACGGTTATCACACCACGAGCATAAATGACCATACATTTCGTAATTGCTACTTCTTATTGCAAACGCAACAAAGTTTATACAATGAAAAAAAAAATAATGAAACCACATCCACTTTCTACCCACAGTCATTGAGAAGGGTAGAAATTGTTAGTTCCTAGAGAACGAGAATACCTGATTATAGATCTGGATTCACACCATGATGCGATAATTTAATGCTTAACAAAGGCTGTTTAGTGAACTTCTCGTGCATTTTCTTGATATTGATTTAAAATATAGTAGGACGTGACTTTTCTCAAGTCAAACGTTTGGTTTCCAATAAGCGGGTGCTTGGTGCAACATTGCTTGAAAATTCGGGAGATTCGGTTATTCAATTTCAACATCAGAGCAAAAACTCGTAAACAGGTTCTCCACCTGTTACATGTTTTGATAGTAAGCATCATAGTCCGATGCAAAAATGAGCGGAGGAACCACAGCAGCGCTCTTTTATAACTTTACAGGTTCAAGCAGAACGATGCGCAACCAAGTGGTACTCGATTATGACGTCTGGGTTCGGGAAAACACTTGTGTTGAAGCACACCATCGGCTTCGTGCTCTACGTGATTTAAAATTGTAAGCAGCAACAATAAAAACCCCCCAGCCCGATGGTAGCGAAGCCCGCCTACAGAACAATGTATAGTTCTATTCCCACTACTGTGTCAATTGTGTGTGTACTTCGTTGTGTATTGTTATTGTTTACGTTTATATATAGTCAATGGTTTTTGTATCTTTTTGATTTGGAACTTAATTTTTGGTGCTATATGGATCGCAATTGCCACTGTCGATGTAACACTCTACCTATGCGTTGTGTATATTCCCCCTGATCGAGTAAACGATGATTCTTTGATCGAAAAGCATATCGATTCGCTTAACTGGGTGGTTTTGCAGTTAGGACCAAGAGACAGCGTTATCATCCTAGGCGATTGCAACTTGAGCTCGATCTCTTGGCAGCGTAGTCCACATGGTTCCCTGTACCCAATTACATCACGATCCTCGATTAGCATGGCATCACGGAAGCTGCTTGATGCGTATAGCACCGCTGGACTCAGACAAATGAGTGGAATTGCAAATGAAAACAATCGTACGCTTGATCTATGCTTCGTCAGTGATGAACTTTGCGAGCACAGCACAGTTATGCAAGCTCCATCACCGCTCGTTAAAATCTGCAGGCATCATCCTCCTGTACTGATGGAATTCAAGATAAGTCCACAGCAAAGCATCGCCTATGATTTCAGAAAGGCTGACTTCAACAGCATGAACGAGTTCCTCGCACATGTCGATTGGGACGAGGTGCTTCAAAATTGTGATGCCAACCTCGCTGCGTCGACCATATCTGGTATCCTGTGGTATGCCATCGATCAGTTCGTCCCGTGAAGTCTAGAAACGAGCCGGCTAAGCCAGCCTGGTCAAATGCTGACCTCAAGCATCTTAAGACTGTGAAGCGGGCAGCTCTTAGACGACATAGCAAGTATCGCACGAACTCCACGAGAACGAGATATATGGCGGCGAGCACTGAATACAACAAACTTAATAATCGTTTGTGCAACGCATATCAGGACCATCTGCAAAGGCGCTTCAAGACAAATCCCAGAAGTTTTTGGCGTTACGTCAATGTCCAACGGATGGAATCCGGACTGCCCTCTACCATGACCAACGGATTGTTCGAAGCTGATTCCATCACTGACATCGCCGACCTGTTCCGTTCTCAATTCAGCAATGTTTTCACTAATGAACACATCGACCCGCAGGATGTAGCCGTCGCCACCAGAAATGTTCCTCGACTTTCGGCCTCTGGGCTACAGTTCGTGATCACGAACGATATGGTTATATCAGCCGGAAAGGATTTAAAATCCTCCACGGGATGTGGTCCGGATGGGATTCCATCGCTTGTCCTCACATGCTGCGCGGATACACTTGCAACACCACTAGCAAGAGTATTCAACCTATCTTTGGCTACTGGTGCATTCCCAAACTGCTGGAAGCAGTCGTATGTTTTCCCAGTTTTCAAGAAAGGCTGCAAGCGGATTGTTTCGAACTATCGGGGCATAGCTGCGTTGAGTGCCACTTCTAAGCTGTTTGAGGTGATCATTCTGCATAAGCTGGTTCAGAACTACGCACACTACATTTCGGTTGTTCAGCACGGATTTATGCCTAACTGTTCGACGACAACTAATTTGACTTGTTTCACTTTGTTCGTGATCCGCCAAATATAAAATGGTCAACAAGTAGACGCTATTTACACAGACTTATCCACGGCGTTTGATAAAATGAATCATCAAATCGCAGTTCCTAAATTCGACAAGAATGAACAGTAACTTGCTTTCCTGGCTTCGATCCTACCTAACCGGTCGAAGTATGTCCGTCAAAATTGGAGACCACGTTTCGCCCTCCTTTCCGGTTTGGTCCGGTGTTCCCCAAGGAAGTCACTTGGGGCCGTTTCTATTCTTGCTGTATATGAACGATGTCAATTTCATCTTGTAATGCCTAAAACTCTCGTATGCCGATGACCTGAAGCTTTACTACATGATTAAGCAACCACAAGATGCGTTTTTTCTGCAACAACAACTGGAAGCCTTCTCTGAATGGTGCCATATTAATCGAATGTCGCTGAACGCAAGCAATCACTCTTTCATTTTAGCTATGCTTTGGAAGACGTGAATCTACAACGTGATTCGACAGTCAAGGACCTGGGGATTCTGGTTGATACAAAATTAACCTTCAAGGATCACGTCGCGTACGTTGTGTCTAAAGTCTCATCGCAACTAGGATTTTTATTTCGCTTTGCAAAAAAGTTCAAGGACGTTCACTGCCTAAATGCTTTATACTGCTCAATTGTGCGCCCTATCTTGGAGTATTTGTCTATCGTCTAGTCTCCTTATTACCAGAATGATATTCAACGCATCGAAGCTGTTCAGCGAAAATTCGTCCGGTTCGCTCTACGTCATCTTAGGTGGAGAGATCCATTTAACCTGCCCAGTTATGAAAGCCGTTGTCTACTTATAAATCTGGAATTACTAGAAGCAATACGCAACGTGGCAAAAGCGTGCTTTGTTGGGGATCTTCTGCAAGGCAACATTGACAGTCCTACGCTTCTTAGTCTCTTGGACATCAACACACGTCGTAGCAATCTTCGGTCGCACTCGTTTATCACCATCCCTCTGGCAAGGACTAATTATGGCTTACACGAACCTTTGCGAAGCATGTCCCTTGTATTCAACCGGTGTTATTATGTGTACGATTTCAACGTGTCACGAGCAACAAATAAGCGTAGTTTTAAACGAGTTTTATGTTAATTTATGTTATTCGTTAGTTTTGTATTTAGTTGTAGAACAAGTGTCATTGGGGTAAACATTTTACCTGTTGACTGATAAACAATAAGTAAATAAATATAGTATTTAGGAGAAGACGATTTGTATGTTATTAAGTAATACGTTAATCTGCCGAGCAGGCATTCTGCCTCTCGGAAGCAATAAAAAGTCAATTGAGGGTCCAACAGTGACGAAGCTATGCCCTTTTCCATCCATCTCTAATTCGAAAGTCACAACGTAGGGCAACATCCTGGACGAAACAGCTTGTTTCACTTATTCGTTTATGAAAACAGTGACGACGTTGATAACGTATATAGGGGAAATGGCTCTAATGTTGGCCTATGGATCTAAGATTGGGCCCATCTCTAAAAATCTGATATTTATCAATTTTATGTAGATGAACGTGTCATTGAGACGGTACTAATGGATATTTTTGGTCGCTATTGAAAATTTAGTCGATTACTGAATTTATGTATGGGCCTAAATTAGGGGCATTTAGACCGACATTACATCCATTTCCCCTATTTCAGCAGATTCGCATAGTTACTTCCTATCGATTGATGTATTTGGGATATAATTTTGTTGACAAAGTTATAAACGTTCAAAACCTAACACTTTTTGTGACGAGAACATGCATACA